TTTTTGTAACGTTCCAGGACTCGTGAGAATATATAATTCAAGATGAGGGTCGAAGCTGTTGGTGGAGCGTCTGTTAGGACGTGGTCTGCGGACGAGAGGAAACCTTCTATGAAGAGAAGTGTATGTAGCTGATGTACGATAGTAGTGTGACGGTATGTACTGTTGAATATTTAATATTATTCTGTTATTATTCAGAGTTAGGTTGAACTATTTTACTGTCCATTTAATCACTTTTATTATTACGTATTACATTAATTGAACGTTTCTGACACGATGATGTCACCCGTGATATTGTTATTTGAAGAAATGCAATAAAAGAAATATTATCAATTTTTTTAAATTAAAAGTAAGCTCACTAACTGTTTAATACAAACTTAAATAATTCACAATACTAAGTATTTTAAGTAGCTCCTTATTGTTATTTGATTGTTTCAACACATCCATACGTTATGGCTTACTGATTTACAGAAAATATTTCTAACGCTTGTTTCTTAGCTTCACTTGTATGTTGGTTTGTATGTTTGTAACTTCTTTCCTGAAATAAATAATAGTAATTATAATAATAACTAGCTCTTCCCCGCGGCTCCGTCCGCGTGGACATGAGTTGTTCTCTATCACTAAGACCACTGAACCTGAACTGCTTCCACTTCATTTTTCCACCCGCGAAATGTTGGGATCAGGTAATCGGTATCATCTATCTTCATACAAAATTCATCACAATCGGTTCAACGGTTTAGTCGTGAAAACGTACCCGTAACATACAGATAGACAGACAGTTACTTACCCATTTATAATATTAAGAGGGATTTGGAAAATAATTGCTATCGCTTATAGAAATCATGCAATTAATGATACAAAAAAGGACACATCTGTTGTTAGCAAAATAAAAAGCTGGAAAAAAAATTAATGTAAAAAACATTGTTATGAAATACAAAACTACAAACTTGTTTTTATTAAATAATTTATATTAAAGAGGAATAGTAAATGAAAGAAATTAACTTAATTTAAAAAAGCGCGATGTATCTTTAGATTTTAGAATATAACGGTACACTTATAAATATCAAGTCGTGAGAGGCGAGTGTACACCGTGGGAAAGAGTACGTATCCAAGTGTTTGAGCCTAAAAGGAAGAGAATTGCTCACATGTACCAACATAGTACACATCTGCCTTATATGGCTTAACTAACTTTCCGCCCGCGGCTTCACCCGCGTCGAGTACGGTTATATCGCGTTTCCAAGAGAACTTTTCAAAAGTCTGGGATAAAAACTATCTTATTTCTTTCTCAAGGTCAACTCTATATCCGTACCAAATTTCATTAAAATCAGTTCAGTGGTTTAGGCGTGAAAGCGTAACTGACAGACAGGCAGAGTTATTTTTGCATTTATAATATTAGTTTATAATATTAGAACGGTTTAACAGAATAGTAATATCTAGCACTCCAAGAACTTTAACACCAAAAAAAAATCCGTTTTTTGATCATAATATTTTTAATCTGAATTATAAAAATTTAGATCTTTTTAGTTTGGTACTTTTTTTTATTTTTTTTTGTATGCTAGTCCCTCTGACGTGGTCAGAGACCTTTGTTCTTCAACACTTTCATGCTAGTTCTCTCTTTTGCTAGGGCCTTTCATTCCTCATACCATCTTTCTGTCATACATCTCTTTCATTCCTAGGTTATACCTTTCCTATCGTGTTCCTGTCTTATATTCTATTATACTATTTTCATCTTTTATTTCTTATTATATTGTCCTTGATGACTTTTCATACGTTTCCAGTTTACTTTTATCAATTGCGAGAATTCTATTTTACAATTTATTTTTAATTTTTCACTATTTACAATTATTTGCCCTAATCCTATTTACATTTTACATTTATCTTAATTTTTACATTAAATTTATGTAACATTTTTAACATTTAAACATTAACATTTAAACATTTTACATTTTTAACATTGAATTTAACATTTAACATTTGGTATATTTAATGTTTGGTCATTCATTGTTATTTAAAGGACTACATTGTATTGTTATTCTATTTCAGGAGTTCCGCCGACCAGGAGCTCGTCTTTTTGCTCTTCCTTGCTGATTGTTCCGGACTCCATACTGTCACTGACTCCATACTCAATCTGCCACACAGCAGATCTGGTGCTGCTGGTGAGTGTTCTCCTATTAACCTTCGATTCCTTAGCCATTAAGTCATTTACGGTTTGGTTCCTGCACCTTTGAGAGCACCTCCTCCAAACATTAGACTGCTATTTTATAAGCGAGTATTTTTGTAAATTTTTTAAACATTTCATTATTTATTTTAAGCCAATCCTTGAAGTGTCTGTCTTTGTATGTCTTTATATAAGAACAATATTGTATTATGTATTACAGATGGTGTTATTTGACTGTACTTGAGATTCATCCATCAGGAGATGACGGCTGATCATCAAGTGTTAGATGAAAACTAACAATGAACCAAGTATTGATGAAACATAGAATTATATGAAGAGGAGAATGACTCGGTTAGTGTAATAATGTGTGTGTACGTATACATAGAAAGATAATTAATTTTAATTTATTTAAAACAATTTTATATTTGCACATCTTGAGTTGTTATTAATGTCTAACAACCGTTAACATTACCAAGTCGTATCAGTTCATTGAAGTATGCAGAATAGAAGTTAGTAACGACGAGAGATATAAGAGTGGTGGATAAGATAGACTGCTTTACTTACTGATTGTTTAAAACCAGGCCACTTAATGAAGTGTTCAAAGTATACATGTTTGTTGTCCATACATTTGTATAGAGCTCTCCTGCAGAAACATCTTCCTCAATCAAAGTACTCATAGTTTCACTACCGTCGTATGTTAACACTTTACGGTCTGTCCATCGATCATGAAATATATGTTTATTTAAATGAATAAGACTCGCGACAATCTTATATCTCTTTACATACATGTTTGTGTTAAAATACATATAAAGGTAATTGTAAAACAAGTAAATTAAATGATATTCAAACGAGTCTTTATATAGGATGCCACGTGTTAAGACTGATAACAATATTAAAATATTTAATGAAGGCTAATTCTAAAACGGATGTTTGTAGTGTAGATGACTGAGGTGTTGTTGCGGTCGGGATGTCCGATTGTTACAATCGGAATCGTTCGCCGCTTGAGGGGTGGATCGGATCTGATATTAATTCCTCCGATAGCAGGCGGCCGGTGATCCGATCCTCGGGATCAGTGTTCGAGGCGGGTCGTATCGCCGTTCACAATGAAACCACAACTTGCTAGTAATGGCGGCAGAATCACTTGGTTTAAATGACCACGTGGGCCCTAGTCACTATCTTTAAGTTCGGTTCTTCAATGTTCGGGTTCTTCACAGTTCGGGTTCTACAAAGCGTAGGAGTTGTTGTAATCACGAGAGCTGGCTGATGACTGACTTTTCGATTTTTTTTTTTTCTTCGAATTGACATATGCTGTTAGCCCTAGTGGCTTTGACAGCGTCACCGAGAGGGGTGGGTGGTCCTGATGGGACCGATCCGATTTAATTCGGGCCCGAAGGGCCCGACCAGGGATACGCCCGTCCCAAGGGTGCCTCTAGGAGGCCGGACCTCGGCTTAGGACGTCGTTGTCGTGGAGGTATTAGTGGGTCGATTGATTGCATGACGCCCCCCGACGGCAGAACGCCGGAGTGACGTGTATGAAACGGGACCTCGCCTTCGCCGGCGAAGGCGGTGTGTGTTTATGAGGTCTGGTGTGTTGTTGGGATTATTGTTCGTATTGTCTGTCGTGATCTGGTCGTCAGGGTCTAAGAGGACGTCTTTGGGACGCCTCTTACCTAATTTGGAGTTGGGTGACGGGGAATATTTAGACGCTTGGATTACTAGCGGGTTCGCATGAATTGACGCGGTATCGAAGAATCTCTTTGAGATCATCTTGAAGTGCGCAGCTATCGTAGGAAGTTGGAGGTCCCTATGAAGATCTGAGTTCCTGAGGTACCAGGGTGCGCCTGTGGCTGTGCCCATGAATCTATTTTGCACTACTTGCAGTTTGTTAATGGCTGAGGGCCGGACATGGGCGAAGCATGCGCTTGCGTATGACATAACTGGAAGTATGCAGGTCTTGTAAAGTGTGACCTTATTTCTAAGGGACAGTTTACTTTTACTGCAGATGAGGGGGTATAGGCGACCTAAGATGAAGGATGCCCTATTTCTGACAGTTCGAATGTGGGGATTAAAGCTGAAATAACTATCTAGAGTAACCCCCAGATATTTGGCTCTTTTTTGCCAAGAAATGGGACTATCGTAAAGTGAGACCTTTCTGTAGGGGATGCCTACTCGATTGCTTCTGGTAAAGATTAAGATTACTTTTCGACTCACAGCGGCCGTGTTCTATACGCGTTGCGCGCGCGCACCTAGCACCGCTGTGAGTCAGCGCGAATGCCCCGCCCCTTCCAAGTGACTCTACCGCCGTACGTTTATTGTTCAATAGGTTCGCATCGAGTTTACAACAATAGACTGCGCTCTTGCAAGAGACGCTCATAGATATATTCATAGTTATACGTGTACATTTATAATTAACATGATGCGCTCTTACAAGAGTCGCTTTCCGTACAGTCTTTTATTTATTAAACATACAATTTCTATATAAAAATTAACCTAATTTCCTTAATATTTCGTCATCAGCCTATCAACGCCCACTGCTGAGCAAGGCCTCTTTCTCACGTGGAGAAGGTTTGAGCATTAATCACCACGCTTGCTCAAGACGGGTTGGTGATTTCAAACTTATAATTGTGAAACTATAAGTTCAGGTTTCCTCACGATGTTTTCCTTCACCGTATGTCAGTGGTGTCTAAATGCTCTCAGAAAGTACATATGACTCCGAAAAATCACATTGGTACTTGCCAGGTTTGAACCCGCGCCCTCGGCAACGAGAGGCGGACCCTTTAACCACTAGGCCACCACTGACATTTTTTTTATATTTACATCTCTTATATTTAAATCTAATTATCTACTAAATATTAGCTGCGTCGCCGACATCCTCCCCCTCGTGCTTCGCACCATCCTCTTGTCCGGCGACGCGAAGCTGTTCCGGACCGCCGCGCTGCTGCTCGGCGATCTTGTCTTCAACGGTGGGCTGGCTCACCAGCCTTACAATCTTCGAGCTCGGCCTTTCTATAAGGCCAGTGGAGGTGCGCACGTCTACTACGCGCGTTCGCCCGTCGGGGCCTGGGTAAACCCTTATCGCTTCTCCTCGCGGCCACGAGTTTCTTGGTAGCGTCGAGTCCACAACGATGACCACGTCCCCCTGCTGAAGATCTGCGGTGTCGGCGCCGCCTCCAATTCGACGAGGAACAAGAGTAGGGAGGTATTCTTTCATCCACCTCGCCCAGAAGTGGTCCGCTAGATGTTGCGCTGCTTTCCAGGTCCTACCCTTGACCTCGTCTTCAGTGAATGTTCCCATCGTCGGCGCCCCGCAAGACCTCCCAATCAGGAAATGGTTCGGGGTCAGAGACTCTTCCTTGTGGTCATCTACTTCTATTAGTGGCCGCGAGTTTATTATATGCACGGCCTCCAAAAGCAAGGTATGCAAAACTTCTTCCCTTGGTTTCCTTTCTTTCAACGTCGCGGAGAGGGCCGTCTTCACGGAGGCCACCAGACGCTCCCACGCGCCTCCCATGTTCGGGGCACCAGGTGGTATGAACTTCCACCTGATGCCCTTCAATTGTGCTTCCGCTCCGAGCGCCTCGATAACTTCTTTGTTAGCCCGCACGAAATTGGTCCCGTTGTCACTAAACATAACCTTGGGCCAACCCTGGCGGGCCGTCATCCTTCTGAGCGCCAGTATCATCGAGTCGGCCGATAATGAGGCGACCAACTCTAAATGAATCACTCTGGTGGTGAGGCAAGTGAACAACGCCCCCCACCGCTTCTCATTTCTCCTCCCCACGGTGACCGTCATTGGGCCGAAATAATCCACCGCGGTACAAGTGAAAGGTGGCTCGCCGTATCGGAGCCATTCCCGCGGTAGATCTCCCGTGGGTGGGGTCTTCGGAGTGCCCTTACGTACTAGACACCACTGGCATCGATGGGCTATCGCTCGCACCGCTGATCTCAGGCCCAGGACTCAAAACCTTCTCCTTACTTCGTTCATCACGGTAGCGTGGTTACCGTGATTGAACTTATCGTGGTAATGGGTCAGGATCAACTTCGTAATGTCATCTTTCGTGTCTAACACTACTGGCTGCCTGAGATCGCGGTCGAGTTCTTCGGCGGCGTCGATCCTGCCGCGGATCCTTATAAGCCCATCGTTCACGGCGATATCCAGCCGTTTAAGTTTGCTCTTCCGGTCTAGGGGTTGCTGGCTCTCCACAGCCTTTCTTTCCTCTTTGAAACATTCTTGGCTTCTTCGTAGTAGCAATTCTTCCGCCTTTTTTAGCCATTCGGGCTCCAGGGGACTGTACCGCTCCTTTATTGCGAGTGGAGCTGAGTGCTGTGCCTTCGTTTTCGTTTTATTGTGTTTCTTTGTCCACACCGGGTCGCTGGATCGTGTGCTTAGAGTCCGTTCCCTGCGGCACAGTTGAACGAATTGAAGTACCCTCGCGGTCACCCGTAGGAGCCTTACCCACCGGGAGAATCTCACCGGGTCAGGTGTGGGAAGGCTGCTAGGTGAAACGACGGCCACGAGGTGCTTGGCTTCTTTTTCCTCCCCGGTGATGGACGTCTTGAATTTCCTGTGCTCTGGCCATAATACATATATCATTCAAACTTTTCCCGTTGAACTTCTTCGTTGAACTTTTTCGTGGGATGGGTCACGGCGAAATGCAGCAGGTACCATCTTCTCGCCGAGCCGCCGTCTCCTGGAACCTCTTCGGCGTACATTTTACATCTTATATTCTATTTGACTTATTATTATTATTATTATTATTATAAGACTTTATTATTCTTATAAGCCCGCCTGCTAAAAGTGAGGCTCGGACCACGATCTTAGGACGTCGTGGATCAAGGGGGGATTGCCAGCGGCGGCCTCCGACGCCCTCTCGCGAGGGGTGTGCGGAGGCGGGGTGTGTGTGTCTGTGTGTAGTGTGACGTTCCTAGTCCTACTACTACTATTAAAACTATCTGACGACGCGGTGATCCTATTGCTATTTGTAATTTCTTGTTCCGGATCGCTGAGCACGTGCTTGAGGCGTCTCCTAACACCCTCACGATATCTATTTGGGAGGTAGGTCATCACTTCCTTCACCAGAGGATTGGGATAGTGGTACCACGGGGCGCCCGTGATCGTGAATAGGAAGCAGTTATAGAGAGTCTGAAGGGGTTTCAGAATCCGATGAGCGAATGCTACGCTAGCGTAGGACCAACACCAATCTTGTGCAAGTTTTACACGTACAAACACTTCGAACTTCTCACTAACATCCATCCGTTTTACACGTTCTATTTAATATAATATGTTTATTTAAATTTAAGATGCAATATGATTTTTTGTAAAATAAATTAATATAAATGTATATAGCTTACATTGATGTTGAGATGTTTAAATTCACTATAGTCTTTAAGACACGTATGTGTACAGAAATATATCATAATTGTCATTTCTCTTTCATCGTTAATTATCATATATATGTAGTTAGGTGAACTAGTAAATAAAGACTGTACAAGGAAGATTGCTCCACTTTCATAACTGTAATAATATAATAACAAGACTAAATGCAGACTTTTTCATCTCGTCTGTTCGTGATTACTGCTACTAAAGAGAAGCCGAAACGTCTGTTAATATGTAAAATATCAAAATAAATATGTTGTAAATCCAAATCTTAGTTTCATTTAAACAGAACTACATATTCATTGGCTAAGTGATTGGTAACAAAGACATCTATTGAGTAATTTCTTTGTATTCTAATTTATTCTACAACTGTTCATTGATAACTATACAAGATACAAACATATTAAACCCCTCAGTATATTTCATTTCATCAACATTGTTATAGCCCTGTCCCTGACACACAATTTTTAAATTTATGTAACCGATACCGTAGACAACAACACAATAAGATATTTGTATATAACATATATTCTCACCAAAAGAGATGATCTTAAGCTTTAGCATCTATTTCTCTATTACTAATACTAAACTCGAAGATAAATACCTAATTGGTTTTTAGTTTCAAGCCAGACACATGTACATTTTTAAATGAAACTTTAGTTTTTCTGTATATATGTAAATCAAGCACAGTCGGAGCATAATATTATAGCACAACAATATTGTTGAGCAAGAGATGCTGATCGGAGTCCTGAATGGATGTCTTAAAGACTTTGAAATGATTAGTTTATGAGTAAAACTGATATTACATGCTAATGAAATCATGTTTTATAGATTATATTTTAGAAGTCGATTATATTAATTTTATAATAAACTCTAGTTACAATACACAAAGGCCTTTTAAGGAGAATAATTAAAACGATATTTTTTTCGTAAACCTGCAAATTGAACATGTTGCGGCACGCATTAGGAAGTTCACGTGGATGTTCAAATCACTGAGACATATTGCAGCTAATAATATTGTTAATGACTCCTCAAACAATCTTTAAAATCAAATTTATATAGCTTTGGTGCAATCCATAATAACATACTGCTTACCTATTTGGGGAGGTGCACGTAAAACACGATTCATGGAAATTGAACGAGCTCAAAGAGCATTGATTAAAGTAATGTTCTTTAAAAAACAACGGTTCAGTACAGAAAGACTATAAAGAAAGTGGTTTGTTAACTGTACGGAAATTGTATACGATATATCGTTACTCAATAAACGTATAGCATATAATGTCATATCTATCCCTGCTACTAAAACAGTCTTCGCTAGGATTCAGAATGATAATAGATCTGCTTATTTATATAATAAAATAAATAAAAACGTTGATATATATATTCAAAACACAAATGCGCACGCGCACGCATGCATACACATACATTTTAATCCCACATTTGCTTCCTTTATGGTAATTACTTCTCTTATTATTACTTTTTTATATTATTTCTTTATTATTGTTGTCCCTTAAATATCTTGTATACTTGTAATTATACCTAATTCGTGATATGGAACAGCGGAGTTTCCTGGCACAGGCTTTTCATATGCTTAAAAGGAGACTCCTATAACTTTATATTTAAGTACAAGTTTGTTAAAGAAAATAAAGAATTTTTAATTTTTATTTATTATTATTGTAAAGTGTGATGTTATTATTAAGGGACATTAGACTTGTCAGCATCAGAACTAAACAGCAGGGAACAAATCTGGGGGTTGTTGTATGTATCATTAAAATGTTATCAACTTCATACTCCTCTCATCTTATATTGGCTAACTCTTTGAGCAAACGCATTATTACAGGAAGCTGTAAGTGTGTTTTAGACTACTGAACTAATTTAACCTTTAATAATCGTCTTGTGTCGTGAATAAATAATAGAAAAGTTGTATTGTTTATATAAATGATAAAGGAGATTGTCCACTTAGTATGGGGACTTTGGCCTGACATGAACAGACATTTTATCATATTTTTTGTAATTAGTTTAAAGCACTAACTAGTAATATTGAGAATATGAACTTAGTTTTGTATCAAAATGTTTAAAAAGAGATATTTGTCATATGAGAAAAAACAATTTAAAGCAAAATAAAACAACATTTTTTATGATTTATTTTTATTCTGAGACATCATATTTTATTAATATGTGTTCAAGACATTGGGCAGGTGGTGAAATGTGTTCCTGATACCTTGCCCAACTTAAAAACCATAAAATAGTAACTATATGAGCTCAGGAACCCACTGTCCTTCGGCCAACCATGCAATTACAATAATATTCTTTTGTAGCTTCCTTACCATGGTGATTATTTTAGTTAGTGATGCAGATAGTTTATGGTTAAAGATCTTTATTCTCATAAGAACATACATAGGTTCACTTACATGAGATTAAATAATATCACACACATACATTAATATTTGATACATGGAATGGCTAGTACTACTTAATATTGTCTAATATATATATACATATATTTTAAGTTTACTTTTAAAAGCATTTAAACATTGACATTCCTTTATGTGGTTTGGCAAATCATTATATAGTTTTACTCCATCAAAACATATATTTTTGTATCCATAATTTAAGGTTTCGACTTTAAGTAACTCAATTTTATGTCTGTTTCTTAAGTTATGCTTGTTTGATTTTTGTGTAAATGTTATGTTTGAATGAATACTTTTAGATACTATCTTTTTAATTAAAATACATGTGTTAAAATATATGTTTGATTTAGGTTGAATAATTTTGATTTTTTGTACAGTTCTATCGACGGTGTGAAAAAGTACTTTTATGATTTTGTTATGCGTAATTTGTAAGATTTTAAGGTTAGACTTTGAAGCTGACCCCCATATTTCAATTAAGTAATCAATGTGTGGTTTTATCAGGGAATTGTAGATAACACTTCGCACTTTTTTTGGTATACAATTATTAGATCTTCGGAGTGCTCCTACAAGCGATGAGTTTTGATCTGATATGCTCAATGTGTGGTTTCCATGTCAGTTTATCATCCAAGTAGTTTCGGGGTCCATATTACGTGAGTGTTGGTCATCGTTTATGCTATGTTCGGAGTGCATAATACAAAAGCCAGGGTCATCGTTTGAGCGAAATTCGGGGTCCGTAGATGTGTCGGGGTCATTGGCAAAGATAGGTCGGAGTCCATAATGAATAAACAATCATTGAAATAAAATCCACAATAAATCAACACTCTCAATGTAGGTAAACAAAGCGAATGTAAAAATCAGTTTGTGACACACAAATGTCAATTTGTATTTTTTTGTTATATTAGTGTTGCAATAGAAAAAATCATTAAAAAATCAATCGAAAGCAGATATGATTACGTTTAACATTCTTCATATTTCAGTTAATAAAACGTTTTAAATGACGAAACTAATTATAACAAATATTTTTAATTCTTTTTGTATTAAATACTTATAGTTGTATTAAGTACTGCGAGATGATTCGATTTGACGCAATCGTTAATTGATCTTGCTGGTAACACAAAACGTGGATCAATAAAGCAAATCAATGAAGATACTTTAAAAATATTTTTTCAATAAAATACAAATGTACACTCAAACAACAATAGAATGGCTAGCTAAAAAAAAATTTTTTTTTTTTCATAAACTTGTTTTTTTGATAGCAGCTTGTTCACGCTAGGCCAAAAATGGACATTGCCCTTTGATATATATTGAAAAGAAATTAAACGAGCAATATATACTTAAAGGAAATGTGAGGCATATTATTGAGTATGAACATTTCAGTATATTTAATATCTACATATATATTGTAATGATCAACAGGACGTAACAAACAAACAGGCCATCATTCATGGAGCTCGTAGTGTCCGTAGGAACAGGCGATGTGAACTGGGACCAGACCTCTGGAATACACAGCTTGAGACATTTAGAACGACACATTAATAGTTTGAGTTGACATGACTGGCAGCTTGAGTGTAGTTTCATGATAAAATAATATTTGTACTACATATTTACATTATATAAAAAGCAAAGAAACAATAGTTGCCATACCTATATAATATATTAATATCATCAATTTTATATAAAGCTAACTTCTTGAAAAAGATCTTAATGCATTCATGAACAGACACGTTTTAATAACAATCTGTTTAAAAGTAAAATATTACAAAAGCTGTTAAAATTTAGTTCAAATATTTGTAAGTTACCAAAACATATAATTAATATTTAATAGTCGCTTCTTTTTGTGTCAGTAAGATTGTGAACATTGGATTCTATTGAATATTTTGTTCAGGTCAATGGTACAGAGTGCTGTAACCGACCTGTTAGAACTG